AGTGATGTAACTAACCAAAGTTGTATTTTAATACACAGTTAGTAGTTCACTTTTATAAACAGAAGAATAGGCTGTTTTTATCATCAGGGAGTTTAATTAAACACTCTGTATTGACTTTGAGACAAGAAAAGAGAGAGAGATGGGATCGTTTGAGAATCTTTAATTTCTGAATTATAAATTCTAAACAATCTACCAGGACTAACTCTGTGATGGATGAGAATGGATTTGGATGTTGTGTTGGTGCGTGTGTGTGTGTGTGTGTGTGTGTCTGGTTCAGATTCTCTAGGATGACGTAATCGAATCTGGTCGTCTTTGTTATGACTAGATATCACGAGGCTTATAAAGTGATGACATGAGCCGCTATTTTGCCGTGTACGTACCCAGTGGGGGTCTCCCAAGTAGATCAGGAATTGCCAGGTCTGGAAACCTCGGATGTACGGTGGAGCTGTCGGTGCAGCGGTCACAACGTTTCAAAGCCCGTCTGGAGGGTTGACCCCGGTACCGTTCAGCGGCGTCAGCAGGTGCTCTTATTTTGAAAGGACGTCGTCTGGTTGTTAAACGACGAAAATCTCCCGTTTCACAGTTCTTAGTTTAAAGAAGAAAACACATCTGACCAGGCTGCGCTTTTCTTTAGGATGATGGTGAATAGAACTGAAGTCAAAATGGAACTGACTTAAAATGGCGTTGCCTTGTTTTATATCTCTGAATTGTTGATAAGTTGGAGTAAAGTGGATTGGACACTTGAAGTCAACACCAGATTCTCCTGCGGCAGCCGAAAGCTCTGATTGGTTGGAACAATGTGTCATGCGTTTCTATGGAGATGAGGATCAGTATGTCTGCACCGTAGTCCTGGTTTCATTAAACATAATTCATGACATATTTATTTCACAGATCATTCACTTGATTATTGTTGATCAACATCTGTTTTGCTTAATAATTTTAACCACAAATAAAGTACTTTGATTAAGTAAAGCTTCTTCTCCTTCGGACTCTTCTCCTGGAATGTAAACAGTCTGAGGAACACCCGACCTTGGTTTTTCTACACGGTGTTATTGTGCCCAGGGGGCAGCTGTATGGAGTTGAAAACCATGAACTTCATAACCTTACAACTTTATGTATACTTTTTAATTTTTATTTGATTAAACTGATTTTTTTTCTTAACGTTCTTGGCATTTTCCCACACAAAGTTAAACAAAACAATGTTGATTAATGTGTGTGTGTGTGTGAGAGAGAGAGAGAGAGAGAGAGAGAGAGAGAGAGAGAGAGAGAGAGAGAGAGAGAGAGAGAGTGAGAGAGAGAGTGAGAGTGAGAGTGAGAGTGAGAGTGAGAGTGAGAGTGAGAGTGAGAGAGAGAGAGAGAGAGAGAGAGAGTCATGCCCCGATGTGGGGGCTGGGGGGTGCGTCGACATGGTCGGGACATAGAAGGGGTGCGCGGCTAAATAAGTTTGGGAACCGCTGTTCTAAAGGGTTTGGCTATGAAACAACACAAGCACCGTGTCTGTGTTACAGTTAAAATGCTGGACAGTGTCTCAATTCAGGACTGTCCCACAGAAAGCAGGAACCTTGGTCACCCTAACGGCAGCATATCAGCCAATCAGGAGGCTCAGAGCCTCAGAGTCTGGACAGGTGAGCAGGATCAAACCATTTTTGAGATGGGGGAGATTTGCTTTATTTTTGTTTTAAAGCATAATTTTTTGACCTATTGTATGGTTTTTAGATATTACTGACGTGTTAAAAATCACAACCAACAGTAAAAGATAATGAAATGAATGTCAAACTTTAGGGGTGCTAGGGATGAATTTAGGGGGGTGCTTGACCTAGGAGAGCCTAGTTGGAACAGTCTTGGTACCTTTTCTTCTAAAATATCTTCCTTGTTATTTAAAGAAAATATAAAGTTTAGAGCTGTTACAATAAAAGGGCTTCACCATGTGTTTAAAGAGCAAGTCACCCCCAAATAAACTTTTTTTTTGCTGATAAACTAAATAAACGAGTGTCTAATCGTGCTGCAGACACGTGTCGTCAATAATTTGGCACTTCAGTGCATCTTAGTTCAAATTTAAATATTCTGCCTAAAACTGTCAGTGTTGTGCCGTTGTCAGGTAAAAACTCTGCACTGTATTCTAATTTAAATCTGCCACCGCTATTGGCTAAGAAGTATGCTATGATGTAAACTGGTACATTATGATGTCACAATTCTGTCGTGAGCCTGAGTGTGTGTGTATTTGTTAGCAGCTCCACCTTCTCGGTCTGCCAGGCAACAGCATTTGTTGCATTTTTCAAACATGAAGTGGGAGTGGAGTTAGACTCTGGTAGGGGGTGACTTGCTCTTTAACGTGGACGATGTGCTTCACATAAATAATCTTGTTTTCCATCAGAGATGGAGGATATGAGTTTAGAGGAGAGCTGGATTTTAAACAACCTGCTGTCAGAAGTACACAGAACAACGAGTGGGTTTTAGTTTCTGTAGTAAAGTTATGGAATGGATTGAGTCCAAATATGTTAAAGTAAAAAAATGTTTTTTTCACTAACTACATGCATCTATAATACCTGCACCTCTCTATCTTTGCTAAAAATGTGTATATAGGTATATGTTTGTATGTACATGTTTTAAAACACTGACCTATGGTGGTGTTTAAATTGTGAGTGTGTGTGTGTGTGTGTGTGAGCATTATTTAGGAATGCGTGTGTGTGTATACATGTGGGTATATAGATGTATATGCAGACTGTTTGCGTGCATATGCGTGTATATAATCATGAGGGTAGGTGCATAAATATCTGTGCGTGTAAATGTGGACATGAGTCCTATTGCTAATCTGAATATTTACATGGACTGTGTAGTAGCTGATGGGATAACTACACAGAAGGACAGTTTTTACTGCACTGTAACTGCTCACGCTTTAACTTGGCCTCTTTCTTAAAAGTTTTAAATCTAATTAAAAATTGTGTGTATTTTAGTTGTGCTCTCACATTTATTTTAATGTTCTTGCTGTTCTTGCTAATGGGAGCACACTGAATTGCCTCTGTGTATGAATGTGCTACAGAGATAAAGCAGGTGCACGCTGCAAGCTGCTCGTCCTCTTTATGCAGTGGTACCTTGCTTTTTACTGGTTTTTATTAGTGTTTTATTGGCTTTTATGCATTTTTGTTGTCTCTGATGCTTTTTTTGAATGGTGTGGATCCTCTGGTGACATACGATCGCGCTGCGCTGCTGAGGCTTCGTCCTCCCGTTGATGTAGCGGGCTCCGTGAGCTGGGAACCTCACAGATGGCGCTGCTGGTTGGACTGCCCGTGTGCTCTCTCCCCCCAAGCCGTGATGTGTTGGCCCTCTGTCCGCCCCATCTCGAGAAGGAAGCATCGGAGAAGACGGGGAAAGAGAGGTAGCCGTCGCGTGAGACGTCGGGCTGGATCCCTGAAGAAGCGGCTGGTCTGATTCGGCCCAGCTTCTGACCCGGTGGTTCCGAGATGTCTTACGGTTTACTCTGCGCCCTGCCCAGGGAACTTGGCCGGCTCTGAGGGTGAACCGGCACCGCGCCACGGCCGATCGGCTCGAAGATCTCGCCAGACTGGGGTTTGCTGGGAGAATCTGCGCTCGGTTACGGGCACAGAGTTAGAGGGGACTGGGCCCGTGCGCGATCTCGGTGCTGCAGCCTCGCCGCAGACCCGGTTTGGTCTAGTCAATGCCAGATCTGTGCTGAACAAAACTTTTATACTTTGTGACTTTTTTATTCAGCATGACTTGGGTTTTCTGTGCATCTGTGAGTCCTGGATCCCGTTTGGTGACTCAAGCGCCCTGCTGGAGCTGGAACCACCTGGCTGCTCCTGTTTTAATATCCCCAGATCACGGGGCAGAGGTGGTGGGCTGGTTGCTGTTTTTAAATCCAGCTTTCCTTGTAAACAGCTTACACCCACCATGTCATTTTCTTCCTTTGAACTGTGCTTATTTGAACTGTGCATCTCCCCCGCCTGCTCGTTGTGCTGATTGATCGCCCTCAAAGACTGACTCTAACTTCCTTAATGATTTCAGTGATCTTGTGGCAGACTGCATCCTAAAATATGACTATGTCCTATTTTTTGGTGATTTTAACATCCATATCTGCTGTCCTGACAATGTGCTTGCTAAAGGTTTTTTAATTTGCTAGATTCATTCAATCTAACTCAATGGGTATCATCCCCAACTCATGCCAGGGGTCACACCCTGGACCTGGTTCTCTCTTTTGGTCTCCCCGTCATGAACCTTGTGACTTTGCCTCCTGTGTTCTCTGACCACTCTCCAATTCTCTGTGATGTTACGTTGCCATGTCCTGTCCGTGTGTGTGAAGCTCCAGCTACTAGGTTCAGAGCCCTGGATGCAGAAACTATTTCAAAGTTTGTGGACTGTATGTCTGTAAGGTTAGAGATCTTTAACCCAGATCCATCTAACGTTGATCATTATTCACAACACTTTGATTTACTTTGTAATCAGGTCCTGGACGTGGTTGCCCCTCTCAAACTTTTCAAGTCTCGGCCTAGGAGGGAGCCTTGGCTATCTGATGTCACACGGGCTAGTAGGCGGGTGTGTAGATCCTCTGAGAGAAAGTGGAAAAAGGATGGCCTACAGGTCTCGCGTGAGTTGTTCAGAGCATCTCTGGTTGCTTATCAGGATGCTGTGAGGGCTGCCAGAACGGCCTATTTTGCAGACATCATCGAAACAAACTCCAAGAATCCCAGGATTCTCTACAAAACACTAAACTCTGTTCTGGTGCATCAAGAGCCTAGCTTCATGTCTCCTACAGCTGCTGGAAACTGAAGCTTTTCACAGATTCTTTTTTGATAAAGTATCAGGCATTAGAGCAGCTATTTCCGGTAACTCTATTGACCCTGTTCCAGTTCCTCCATCACCACCCACCCTGAGCTCCCTCAATACCGTTTCGTATTCTGAGCTGAGTAATCTTGTTGCGAGGCAGAAGCCATCTGGCTCTCCACTTGACGTTCTGCCGCCTCGTCTCTGGAAGGCTGCCTTTCCGTGCCTTGGCCCTTCACTTGGTCAGATTATCAATGGGAGCCTCAGCACAGGTGCGGTCCCAGCTGCTTTGAAAGCAGCTGTTATTCGGCCAACCCCGAAGAAACCTGGTGCTGATGTCTCTGTGATAGAAAATTACAGGCCTATCTCTACCCTGCCCTTTACATCTAAACTGCTTGAGAAAGTCGTTTATCAGCAGCTGGTCTCACATTTAGCTGACTCTGATCTGTTTGAGGTTTTCCAATCAGGGTTCAGGTCTGGCCATAGCACAGAGTCTGCTCTACTGAGGGTCCTAAATGACATCTATCTATCACTAGATCAGGGTACATCTGTGGTGCTTCTGTTGTTAGATCTGGCAGCAGCCTTCGACACAGTTGACCATGCGATTCTACTCGATCGCTTGGAACGATGGGTTGGGATGAAAGGGTCTGCTCTGGACTGGTTTAGATCGTATCTCCACAACAGGACATTCTGCGTTAAACTGGGTGATGTTTTTTCTTCTTGGGAGGGGCTCCGCTGGGGGGGTCCCACAGGGATCGATCCTTGGTCCTCTTTTGTTTGCCATTTATCTGCTACCTCTGGGGTCAATCTTTCGTAAACATGGCCTATCATTCCATCTCTATGCTGACGATTGCAAGATTTACTCTCCATTGTGTCAGGAGAAAGGTCACTCTATCCAGTCCTTTGTGTCCTGTCTTAATGAGGTGAAGTCTTGGCTAATGGCCAACGGTCTACATCTGAATGAGGCAAAGACAGAGCTCATTGTTTTTCACCCCAACAGCAGGAATGTGGATTGTTATGTTGATCTTGGCCCTCTTTCTCTGTACTCAAAACCAGTTGTTACCAGTTTGGGAGTGAAAATTGATGCTGGACTTAAATTTGAGGCTCACATCAACTCAGTGATCCGATCCACTTTCTTTCACCTGAGACGCCTTGCAAAAATCAAGCCTATGCTGTCGAGAGCCCACCTGGAGCGGGTACTGCATGCCTTTGTTATTTCTAGACTTGATTACTGCAACTCTCTTTATTCAGGGTTGTGTCAGTCAACACTGCGTCGCCTACAGGTTGTGCAGAACAGCGCAGCAAGGTTCCTGACTGGGACCAGGAAACGGGACCACATCAGTCCGGTTCTGGCCTCCCTGCACTGGCTTCCGGTTTGCTATCGTGCACAATTCAAAATCCTCGTCTTTGTTTACAATTTCTTCCAGGGTGGTGCTCCCCCCACACTCCTGAACTGACATTTCCCATCACACGCTCTGCGCTCCTCTGACCAAGGCCTGCTCGCTATCCCTCATTCTAGGTGTCGTACTCGCAGGGACCGGGCTTTCTCAGTCCTAGCACCGTTACTCTGGAACCAGTTGCCACCCTCAGTTAGGCTGTCCCCATCTCTGCCAGTCTTTAAGAGTCGCCTAAAAACACACCTCCTCCGCTTGGCGTTTCCAGAACATGTTTGATTTTGGCCCTCTTTTATGTTGAATTTATTTCACAGTTTTCATTGGTTCACTCTATCCCTTGTTTTACCCATCTGTCCTGTACCAGAATGTTTCACCTTTTTTTGTAATTTGTATTTTGTAATTTGAATTGCTTTTATTTTTGATGTATTCACTATATTTGTACTTCTACTGTACCATGTTCAGCGTCTTGGGCTTCCTGACAGGGTTGCGGAAGGCGCTTTATAAATAAAGCTTTGATTGATTGAAAATGTAATTAATTTATTTCAATGATTTGAATTTTTAGAGCCCCTTTCATCGTTTCGTCAATTTTTCACCCAATCAGGTTTCGGGCCCTGGGTGGGCAAATCCTCCCCCCAGGCTTTCACTGCTGAGGACATGACACGTTGCGTCAGCAGGGTGCTATGAATGTAGGAAACATCTTGTAACCAGCTGGACACTGTCCTGATTGCCAAGGGAACCCAAAGGCCTTACATGAAGACCTTACTCTGAAGCAAAAATAACAAAGAATGTCAATCATTCTGCAGCAGCACTAACAGTGTAGTATTAATCCGAATGGAGCTCAGTGCCGTACTGCTATTCGACCCTGTGGCCCACTGGAAGTCCCCTAATCCCCAGTTTTTAACTTACTGAATTAGGCTCCGATTTTCTACATCTGTCAACACTCTCCAGCGTATTTTGTAATGAAACATACTTACATATGAATAATTAATAATAATTATCCAAACCAGTCGATCTTATGGTTATTGTCTCCAGCTATTTAGAAACAAACCGACGCCCATGACCACGGGCCTCATTCAGCAGGCCTGCTTCTGAATGAAACAGAACTAAGTGATCAGCACTGAGAAATGTGAGGGAATGTTTTAAACGCTAAGCAACAGGCTAGACTGATGTGCTGTATTTAGCATTAGCTCATTGTATTATTTTGTGTTCTGTCATCAGATTTTGTTACCGTCACCTTGTCTGTCCGTTTTGGCAATGTCACCGTCACAGCAACGGATTTCGTCTTCTATGACTGCATGGCTGTGAAACAGCTGTCTGGCAGCATGCCGTAAGTTTCACTTCATTATCTGTGCTTTTTGTTTGGTATAGTTCCTGCGTTGTTTTCTATCATTTTGCTCTTCAACCTTTGTTCTGTCTTGCTATTCTTTCCTGTTTTTTACTCTTCTTATCAAACACGTTCATAAACAATGTCATTGGTTGTCTTCGTATACCTTTTGCTACTCCGCAAGAAACAACTGTACAACCTGGGTTAACACAGCTCAGTTCAGGGTAGTGTGTATTCACTAGCAACTCCCTGACCTAATCGGGTGTGCTTGTCATGGGGGTGGGGTCACAAAAAAGCTGCAAGATGATCAGTAGACAGTGTGAGGGGATCTGTGTGCCATAAAAATACACCACAGCACAACAATGGTGGCGATAGTGAACATTTTGCACAATCTGGTTTTTTGTCAGACTCTGAACGGCCGAAGGCGGCAGGCATGCCAACAACCAGTGACTCCATCCCCTAACCTGAGTGACTGGTAGTCCCTGACATTGCTTTTTTAGACTGGCACAGTAAGCTAGGAACTAGTGCTAATTTTAATAAGTCGACGCGTTGTTTATTATATGAGCTTCTGTTTAATCTTGCCTGCTGCTGCACCTTCTGCTGCTTTCTGCTTAAGGCTCATGCGCAGTGGTGGCCATCCAGATCAGCTTTCAGGTTTTATTCTACAGCCATTTGGATCACCCAACCCAACCCACAAAAATGAACAATAATGAACAAGAGTCTGCTTCTAGACCTGCAGAAAAAGAGAAGACAAAACAAACAAACAAAAAAAAGGGACACAAACACAATACAGCAGGAGCAAGCTAGCACTGCGTCAACCTGATGAGGAAATATATAATCAACATTGTTTTACTGAACAATCACATGATGATATGTTTATGTTTATGAATTTAGCAGTCGCTTTTGTCCAAAGTGACTTACAAGTGATAATCGGCATGTTGCCCTTGTGGCTATCAACAACAATAACAAGAACAACTTGACATCAGTCATGGAAAGTAGGGAACAAGAAGTGGACAGTAGAGAGGTGTGGGGGTGGGGGGTGGGGGATGGGTGGGGGCTTTCTCTGTGATGCCCATACTAGAGAGTGTGGACAAAAGGAAGCCATGGTTGACAGTGTCAAATGCAGCCGATAAGTCGAGCAGGATAAGCACTGAGGATTTGCCTGTCACTCTAGCTTCTTTTAAGGATTCCATCACTGCTAACAGAGCAGTTTCAGTGGAGTGGCCTTTTTTGAACCCAGATTGGTAAGGGTCAAGCAGACAGTTTTGTGAGAGGTATTCTGTGATCTGCTTGAACGCCATCCTTTCAATGATTTTGGAAAGAAAAGGCAGGTTCTAAAGGCAGGTAATAAATCACAGTGCATTAAGTGCCCACCATAGCCTTAAGACATGTGTTGAATGTGCCCAAGTCCATACTTATGAGAGCACCATGTGAGCACCTGTGTGTGTACACACACGCGTTTATGTAAGGTTTATCTATAGGAGCGTCCAATAGAGTGTGAGGGGCCACAGATCTGCCCCCTAAAGATGTGTAGGAGACGGGGGGAGCTCCAAGTCCCAGAGATCCAGGAGTTGCCCCAGAGCACAGGAACTCCAGGGAGACCGCAACCAGAAAAGCCCCCACCCCCCTCGAGAGGCGCAGAGGATCGCCCCGGGGGGCCACAACCAGCAGCCGGCAGAGTCTCGGGAGATATTGGCGGCAAGCCCTCAGGCCCGCCCGCAGCCTCCCACCCCGTAGCCGGCCTAGCCCGGGACCCAATGACCCGGGACCCAGGGGCGACCGCCCCCGCCAGGGATCCAGCAGAGCCCAGGGACCCAGACCCCACCAGGCAGCCATCGGGATTAAACTCCCTGACCCGGGAGCCACGACCCAGGCAGACCAAGGCACCGCACTCCACACCAGGTGTGGCAGGGAGAGGGGAGACAAAGATCTATATCATCAAAAGAAGTCCCAGGAGAAGGGAGGAGTCAAAGGCCCCACCTGACATATACAGTCATACACAAACACAGTCACACACTCCCTCATGCTCACACATGCACATACAGCCAAAGACTTACAAAAATGCACGCTGGACACCCACTCATGCTCCCCATACACACCCTATTCACTCTGGTCCCGGTACTGCTGCACATGGGGTACAACCATTACCGGTTCCCAGATTTTGACCCTTTCTGCTGGGGGTGCTGATGAGCAGGCTCCCCCGCCCAACACTGAGCAAAGCAACCCACCACCCCAGACCCCAACCGGACGGCCGGATCTCCCTCCTAGCCTCCAGCCCCACGAAGCCAAGCAACAACAGAGGCGTGCTAAGACCCCTAGTCTCCCTCTGCCTGCTCCAATATAGTGTTGGTGCGTGTTGATGAGGTGTATTCCATGGCTGCGGTGAGCGGGCAGTGCAGCCACCATCTGGCCTATGCCAGCTGATGCCACCACACCACCCCACTTGCCCCCACAGCCCTCTGTGTCTCAGTGCAGTTTAAAATTGGAAGTGGGCACCGGCACTAGGAGTGAGGCTGAAAAATCCCCCTGCCAACTGCCGTTGTATGTGCTCACTCCCAAGACCCTAAGTGTGTGTTTGCGTGGAATGTCGTTGGTGGAAGTGCTTAAGGTACAAATAAAATTGGGGGGCAGGCTGCCACAGGAATGTGGAAATGAGGTCCATACCCCCCCATGTTTGTGTGATGATGTGAGGGAGCAGGAGGAGAAAAATATGCGGGGATGGGGAGGAATGGCTGGTTGGGCTTAGCCCTCCAGGGAGCCAGCTCCCCCACTGGCCCCAATAGGTACCTCTGCTGCCAAAATGCCACCCAGGGCATGGAGACCCCAGCCCATCTTGCCAGGGCCCAAAGCAGCAGCATTGCAGAGCCTCACGGAGTCCGAGGGCACCAACCCAGCCCCACCCCAGCAGAATATCTATGCCCATCACTGCATTTGCACAACTTCCAGAATATATAAGACATAGGACATCCTGGTAAGGTTGGGTCCTCCCCCTCCTGGACCTCCCCCTCCCCCGTGATTGGACAGCAGTGGAGCCAAGGTCTACCCAAGCCCCCTGAACCCGGGCCAGGCACTGCTGCATGTTCCTGCCTTCTTCCTGGCAGCATACATGTCAGGACCCGACCCCCAAGGTCCTGCCCAGATCCCCACACGGGGCCATTCACCCCCACACCCTGAGCCCCCAGGCCCCGACCCAGACACGCCCAGGGGCAATGCAGCTACCAGGCAGCGACCCATGGCCGCCGCCAAGACCTCCAAGGGGCCCCACTCACAACCGCCAGTAATCGGAAATCCTTACCGATATCATTCATGGGGAGAGTTGCTACAATTAAAATGATGGTCTTACCCAGAATAAATTACTTATTTTCAATGATCCCAAACAAACCACCAGCTGACTGGTTTAGATCTCTGGACTCCTCAATTACCAAATTCCTTTGGCAGGATAAACCTCCACGAATTAGCTTAAAAACGCTTCAGAAGACCAAAGACAGAGGAGGACTGGATCTACCCAACTTTTATTATTATTTCTTAACCAACAGGCTGCAATATATACCAAGATGGTTGCAAGATAACCCACTAGATGAGTCCTGGTTAGATATAGAACAGACACTTTACAATACGATAGAGCTTTCAGACTTACCATTTATTAGCTCAAGCATAAGAAAACATGAAGGCTTCAAAAGTATTAGTATCAGCACCTCTCTAGTGACGTACAGATTAATTGCAATTTTATGTTGTATTCTTATTCATTTGAAAAATATACTTGTTTAAAGCCCACTCTAGGCTAAAAACACTGCTGGCGCGACTTTTGGGATCTTTAGATCAGCTCGCTGCTCCTCACTGTGGGTGCTCAGCTGTATAAAACACTGAGATGCTAACGTGAAAGGCAAACTCCGCTCCAGCCTCATGTACTCCACAAGGACATGCTAAACATGAAAGGCTTATATCGCGAACAGCGTGTTAAAAAACACGAGGGAATGCTAAATGAAGGTTAACATAAACACGAGTGGATGCTAAGGCTAGTTAACACGAGGGGGTAAATCCTTTACTTGCTGAGCATTTATTAAATAGGTGCTGCTACTATTCAGTGTTTTTGGTGCTGCAATGAATGGCCTGCAGAGCTAAAAAGACAACAAAAGAAATGCTTACCAACAGGGTTTACGAGTGACTCCAGGATACTGGTCGCCGACTCCAGGCCTCCTTCGCTGCCTCGGTTTTACGGTCTGTGTCCATAAATAGCGTCCACCACATCGTACCACTTCCATGTACTTCGCCCATTCCCACTACGGTCGTCGCTGTCCTTAACTTTTCCGTAGTGGGCTTTTATTTTTTTCAGCTTCGCACGACACTGCTCGGAGGTGCGCTGGAATCCTTCAGCTGTCATGCGCTGAGAAACTTCTTTGTAGACTTTCTCATTTCTTATCATCCCATCCAGCTCGGCCTGAATGTTGCTATCTCCGATGATGGTGAGGAACGTTTGAAGCTCCGCATTGGACCAAAAGCTATTACTTGCACGCATTTTCGCTCACAAGGAGTACAGCCAAACACAAACACTAGAACTCTGGGGATTGTCGCGGGTAGTTACGTAATTTCTCCCCCAATCAGAGGACTCTAGACCTTTTACGCTGTGGCTCCACCCAGACCAAAAATCTCTGGACCCACAACAGAAGGGGTCCCGCTCTGGCCCGGTCCGGGTAGGTTTTCTGGACTGGTTTAACAATCGAAACAATATATTTAGCAACCCGATCCTTCCCATTCCATGCCAGTTTGGGCGGTGGAAAAGGCCCTTTCATGCACTGCATAACAGTAAAGTTTTAAGTATCAGGCGTGACATTAAAGCAGCAGCTTTGATGCTCCATCTGAGAGTAGATCTTTAAGGGTTGTCACCAGCATTCAGACATTAATTCTGTTTGCTTGACAGCCAGACAGGACACGGGGGGAAGTGAGTTAGTTGTGTTACATACGGTCAAGAGTTTCAGGTCGGATGGGAGCTACACAGCACAATG